AAATTGAAGAATAAAAACTTCAAATATTAAGAGTAAGCAATAAGTAAGCAATAAATTTAGGATAGATGGAGTAATAAATCTTACACTAAGAGGGTATTTGGCTAAGCTTATATAAAAATGATTTTATCTTTTTAACATATAGCTTATCAATTTATATTGATGTCAAAATGGAGTTTTAAAAAAAGTGTTTAGATTAGGCTTATTCAGTATCAAAACGTTATAACTTGATAAATCATTTTTAGTGTTTAGCAAAATGACAAAAAGTTTCTTCCTAGAGATGTTAGACAACTATAAGTTATAAAAAGTTTTGATATGTTAGGGATAAATAACTTAGACAACTATAAGTTATAAGGAGTTTTAAACAGTTTAAACAAATACTCATTTTAACTTATACCGGTACGGAACTGATAATAAGTAAAAAAATCTTTTTTTTAAGCTTTTTCAAACACCCTCTAAGGTAATATATAACTTCATAATTATTTTGAAACAGTGTTATAAAATATGTATTTATCAAAATCATATTATTTCATATCATATACTCACGGTTTGTGTTTAAATAAAATAAAACATGATTTCCAATTTAGTATTACAATTTAACATTACAATTGTTAGTTTAGAAATTACTTATATATTGATTTTTTTTTAAAAATTTTGATAATGATGGTTAATTGATATATGAAACATTATATTTTTTCTGTTACTTAATTGACAAAATTACATAAATGGTCCTCGTGGTTTGCCAATTTCTTTGAGTAAGGTCCAAAAAAAACATTTACGAGCAAAAAAAGTCTTTATTTAGTGGTTTAATTGTGGTTTTGGTCTCTATCTCGTTGACTTTAGCAGCATGCTTGTTAACCTTTTTAAAATTATAATTTTACCCTTAGGGATCATTTTAACATAATGTTTGAGACAAAGAAATAACTGATATAATACATTTACTAATAATTGTAGCTTTGAACTTCTGGATTTTGGTTGTTGATGAGATAGCACCCTTCATATGCTGTTAAGGCTAGTATCATGTTGGTAGACGTCAACTACTATCAATCTTAATCTGTAATGAATCTTGTACAAATAAGAGATTATCGGATCTATATGCTCAATAATCATTACTGAATGATATTAGTAATAACATATGATCTTATAGGGTCAAACATTTATCAAATTGGCATATTTTGTATATTTATTATTAATATGATTTTTAATAAATAATATCAATTCTTTTATTTTATTAGGGAATAATTATTATATTCATGAAAATAATAATTAAAGAGAGTATAATTGGTTATTATATAATATGGTATGATTTAATAAGTTATTTATAAAGTTCTACACACTTTGGTTAACTATGGACCTACTAGTTAGTTACCATTAGTTTCCTTTATTTGGTTAAAGTAACTAGCAAATGATTGTCTCATTCTTCTTTATGTAGCTGAAATTTATATTCAAGAAGAGAGGTTGCTTTTCAACCTTCTTCATTTGCTACTCAGGCTCCTAAATGCTAATATTAATTTATATTATTATAATGTAAAGACCTTACTTGCATGGGACTATATAAGGAGTGCATGAGGCTTGTTTTTTTGCTAGTCAAACTCGTTTTCTCCCTCGCCAAAACCATAACTTTCTTAATACTTCTTTTATTGCTTTTCCTTTGAAGCTTATTGCACGTATGGAGCCGAGAAGTGTTTCTCCTTTAATGGTTATTTGAGATAAGAACTTCAAGGCTTATTAAGTACCTTATACAATATGGAAACTAGCATTCCAAGTGTCTTACTCTTGATGATGGATACATTGTAGAGAAGTTCTATAACTGAATTTTTTATATCCTTATCAGCTCCCCAATTCCAAGTGGGAACGAAGACTTCAAAGGTTATCTCTTAAGCATCTTATGGTTGTTATTATCTTTCTGGTTCATGTATTTGGATCCTCTTGATGGTTTTGTTAAAATGATCTAAAATGAACTAGTTATTTTTAAAAGTCTTTTGTTTGCCACTAAAATCGTTTTTATAAAAAAATGTCGTTTTTAGTTATCCAAACCCATCATATAAACAATAAAAGTTTGTATCTTAACATTATTAAGTATTTATTTTACTTAATTAATTATCGAAACTTATCGATTTTCCTAAGTGTTCATGCTACATATAGTCATATTTCAACTCATATGAGTGTTCAAGCTATGTATAAATACTATTTCAATTATATATGAGTGTTCTGGATATGCATAAATACTATTATAAATGTAGCAGAGTGCTTTTAGAGTATACTCTAGCCTATAATGATCATATAACTAAGATACATGACATGTAAGGCTCTATAAAGCACTACAGGGATCGTCTTGAGAACATCACCAATGCTTCATTAAAGTTGTGAAAGAGATTTAAAGAAAGAGCAATTTCTCACGTTCCAACTTGCCAGACGTAGGTAGCAACCAGAGGCGGCGAGGTTATCCCATATAGATTTATACAAATGTTCCTCGCTCCATACAGATTAACGATTATAGCATAGAGGGTTTTGCTATGTTTTCGAGTTCTTAGTTGATGAAGAGTACAACTCGTACATAAATCTCAATTTTAATAGATCTAAATGTTTTTGCATTTGTGTCCTAAACTTTAGTAAAACAGTTTACTAGACTATTGTTCGCTCACTAAGTTCATTTCGTTCAAAATATAAGTTTGTGTCTTAAACCTTAATTATAAAGTTAAATAGACTTAATGTTAATTTATTGTTTAAAAACTATATTAAAGTCTCTAACAAAAAGCGGGTAGCATAACAGTTAAATTTTGATCAAAACCTAGTTTTACCTATTGTAATACCAACAAAAATAGAGCAAATGTACAAGTCATTAAAGTAGTAAATATATCAAAAAGACATTTTAACAACTTTCTTTACTTGTGATGTTTATAAACAAATAAATGATTTTTAATGTTTATAAATATAACAATATTATGCTTTTAGTCTTTTTAAGACATAAAATTGTAGATCTTTTTGTTTTGTTTGTGATGTAAGTTTTTATATATAATCTAGTCATTTTTAACAACACAAAATATAAACTTGATTAAATAAGAAACGTATAAACTTTTAACAATGATAAACATATTATAAAGACATAAAGACAAGATGTACATGTATTCTCCTCCAAAAATATAAAAAGATTAAAAAGAGCCATAGAACTCATGCTTGAAGCATATGTGTAGAGTTCGAAATGTAGATAGTAAGAAGTCAAAACTCTTTGAGTCTGTTAGGGTGTGAAATCTGTGACTTCGACACTGTATGTATTTACAAGGCACTTATCGAATTCACTATTAACGTTTAGTCCTTGTATTTTTTGTGAGTCTGTAACACCTTATAAATAGGGTATTTATTAGGGAAAGAGTGACTTTTTGGTTATTCGTGATTGTAAAATGCTCTCAAACCTTGTACTCTTTTACAGACATAAATAAACCAAACATATCCTATTTACTCGGCATGTTCTTTCTGATTTCTATTATTGATTTCGTATTCAGTACTCGAATCTAACTCACATCCATTGGTATCAGAGTTGGATTCACTCAATCAGTTTCAGTTTTCTCGTGTTTTTCAATATTTTTTAATGGCTCTTTCAGATTCAAAGTATTCTGCAATATTGATTCAGAAAACTTGTTTCAATTGCTTGATTTGTTTCGATTATTTACTATGTTTGTGATATCGATCGATTACTGATCAATTTCTGTTTGATTCACATTTTAAACCTCTTTTTGAAATCTAAAATAATGTTTGTCCGTACAATAACGACAAACTTTAACATGAAGAGGCTAACGGGTTTCTCTTAGCTGCTTGTATTATCTACAAAGATTCCAATGCTCATACATGAATAGTATGAGCAATGGGCCGATCAAATGGAAGATTATCTCAACGGAATATATAAATATCTTTAGATATGCATCAAAAATGGAAACTATCATCCTGAAAGGCTTGTAGAAGTTGGAACCACTGGTTCTTTAGCTGTGTTAAAGGATAAATAGGAAGCAAATGATAATAAATGTCACAAACAAGAGATAATGATTGGATAAACATGAAGCAAAGGATAAACATAATTGATGCTAATGTTTATGTTGGTGTTCTTCTACCAAAAGGGGCTAAGGATTCTTCAAAGGTTGTTAAACTTACAAAGAAGAAGAGGTAGGCTAACAAACCACAACCAGTTTAAGAACCTGTGGTAGAGGAAGTTTCAAATGAAATTATTCCCTCGAAGACTAGGATTCTAAAGTGAACTAAGAAGCCAACAAAGAGGCCTCGTGATTCTTATGTAAGGCCATAAATCCATGAACCTTAGCAAATCCAGGTTAATTCTTCGCATACTCAATCTTCTTAGAAGGGTATAAAGAAGATTCGCCAACCATAGTTCGATAGGAGTGGAGCTTTTTTCTAGATGTAACTATTCATGTATCCCCAACATCAAAGAAATGTCAAGCCCTCAAAATGGTTCAAAAGATTCAAAAGAAAGCACGACAATTTGAAGATCCTCTTGACAAATTCACTGTTAAAATAGATAATGATAGTGAAAGTGGCGATAATCCTAATGACGGTTTTGGGCTTGGCTCACCTCGAATGGATTCTCATATCAATTCGATTTTTGAGGAGACAGGAAGTCTTTGTGTCAATGTAAACATATCTAATATGGATACACACATCAATTCGAGTGATCAGACATCTAAATCCATGCCTGAGAATATTAAGGCCATACCATCCAGGGTTTCGTAAACTGAGTCCTATACGGGGGAGGTTCGAACTCCAGACATCATTGTGAACGTATCTAATATGGATACAAATGTCAATATAGGTGAATGGGTGTCAAACAAGGTAGCTTCTATTACTTCAAACCCCACTATTTCTACCATTCCCACTTCTCTTATCTCTACCATCGAAACCTCAACCATTGATACATCCACTTTGATAGACCATTTTCATCCCCAATCTCAATTTCACTACCGGTTTCAACCATTTCACCAATATACTCCATAATAATGCATGAACCCATTACTTCTCTGTATTCTTTGCAATCTAAAGATGCTGAGAGAATGGTTCAAGAAGACAAACCACCAAATAATGATGAAATCATGGTGTCATTTGCTGATTTGAAGTTAGACCCAGAAGATAATAATGTTTTTGATGACATGATCATGTCTGGTAAACAATTCAACATCCTAAGGAACAAACTTATTTATCTTTTACAACTCTAAGAAGATACTGGGGGAAGGAATTTCGTTTTGGGGGTAGAGACAGAGTATTTGTTAAAGGCTAAGGAAAATCGTCTTCGAGGTTTGATAGAAAGTGTTAAAAAGACACAGGTTGAAAGGTTTTTGGTACATTCTAATGGTTTTGAGCATGAAATCAATAAGCTTTGTGATGTGGCCATGGAGCATTATATTGTTTTATTGGAATAAGTACAAACCATAAAAGAATCAGTGGATCGTAAAGTGGGTGAACTTAAGTTTGAATTGGCTAAAGAAGTTGAGAAATGGAAAAGAACTATTCTAAGTTAAATGGAAGGGTTGATGTTATTGTTGTAACTCTTCAATTCTCAGGTATTATTATTATGGCTTTAATATTCAAGTATCAAGGTCTACTCTACGAGTTGGATGCCCGGACTCGTCGAGTTGCAGCGAGATTGGGCCATGAGTTAAGTGAACAACTCGCCGAGTCGGAAGAGTGACTCGACAAGTTGGAGCTGGAGGGTGAAACCCTAATTTCCGGGTTTTGTACCCCTATTTAAGGATTCATTAGCCTCCTCTTAGTCCCTTACAACTCCAGAGAGTCCAGCAAACTTTATTTCATGTGTGAGCTTCATTTGAGTGTGTTTGAGCTTTGAAAGGAGGAATTTGTGAAGGATGCTTGAAGCTCAAGTAGCTAGAAACAAGAAAGTCGTGTGCATCTGCAAAGCCTGCCTCAAGTAGCTTCATTTTGAGGTATCAATTCGTGATCTTGGTATTATTTCCTTCTAAATCTCATATGGGTGAAGTTAGGTTTTTGCTTTGAAATGGAGTTACTATGGTGTATGAGCTAGATCTGAAGTTGCAACTTCAGATCTGAACCCTCCTTGAGGTTTAGGTTCATAGAGTTTCTAGCATAGGCATGTATGAAAACCATCCTTTTGTTAAACCCCATTTCAAGTTGGATTTGGCATTATGAACCATTAGAGCCTTGCATACACGTAAAGTTTGCAACTTTACGTGACAAGTACGCCCTAGGAGCTTAGATATGCAATATAGAGTCTTTGCATGGCTTAAAAAGCACCTGTATGGATAAAGAACCATGGGAACTCGACGAGTTTCAAGGTCAACTCGGCGAGTCATCTGAAGCTGACCTTAGGCTCGACGAGTCCTATGAGAAACTCGACGATTCCGATGAAGAATGGCATAAACCTAACCATTCAGGTCTTGACCCCACGAGTCTGATGAAGACTTGCTTAGACTCGGCGTGTCAGATGAGTGACGTGGCAAGTTGGTAAATTATACAAGGAACCCGGCGAGTAGCTAAGGGTACTCGACAAGTTGAGGTGAACATGGACTGTTGACCTTAATAGTTGACTTTCACCAAGGGTTGACCAGTTGACTTCTAAGTGCGTTTTGGTAAATTGGATAATTATAGCAAAGGTCTTCAGTAAATATAGGTGTTGGAGTTGGAGCTACATTTGGAGGAGTTTGAAATTACTTTTCGATCTACTTACGAGGTGAGTTACCTCACTTTACTAAGGGTTCTACGGCACCAAGGCCGGCCCATTGGATATGTTATCCTAGAAGTGTTAATATGTTGAGTATGAAGTTACTGTTTCATGCTAGTGGTTATGCTAGTTAGGTATATATGTAGGATTACAAGTTTTGTTATATGATTATTTGCATGCTCAATGGTTATGATATATGTTGATATACTATGTGGGATGGGGTGAGGTAATACTTCTCCGTGCAGTAACCTACAATCTCGAGAGCATTCCAGATACGAGCTAAGGTAGACTCGTACTGAGGGCTCGATGGCAAGCTAGATGTGAGCTGTGGGCCCAAAAGGCAATCCAGACTCACACTGTGGGCCTAGGGGTAATCCAGTATGCAAAGTTGTGGACCCATTTCTTGCTATTTAGTTTGTTATGTCATCATATTGTTGACATGGTTATGTGGATTGTATGTGTATCGGTATTTTGGGGGAACTCACTAAGCCACGGGCTTACAGTTTCAGTTTATTGTTTCAGGTACATCAGGGGATCGCGGCAAAGAGAATGCATGATCGTATAGCTCCTTACGTTATGTTAATGTTTCTGGGAAAACTATGATATTTTACATTTTGAAAACAAAGTGTAATGATTCAAATGGTTTGAAATGTTTCTTTTAAAAAAATAAAATATGGATTGAAATTTTGTGTTTTACAAGTTGGTATCAGAGCCTTGGTTTGAGTGAATTCGAGGAACATTCATGTGAATTCAGTCTCAAATCATGGAAAGGTTTAAAAAATGATTTCTAAATTGGTTTTCAAACTAAGTAAAGGAGGATGCATGGTGGACGATCAGATGGAGCCAGAAAGTAGACCCTAAAATACCATACAATTATTTGGTTATGTGATATGTTAGAATAGTATACGAGTACTAGGCTAGGGATCTTCAGGAATTGCATGATAGAATTGCCTGATTACATGATGCCTGCTAGCCTAGTTTTTCCTTATATGAGATTGACATCATTAATGTAGTTACCTGTGTATGCATCACGACTGTATAAACTTAAGATCTTATAGCGTGAGAATGTTTGATTTGGCATTATGTTCTGTTCTTATTGATTAGGGCTTAGGGTAGGATCGAATATTTGAAAGTCTATAGGGTCCAACGTTATGTATGGCTAGCATGCACGAGTGTTGCAGGGTTGGTGGAAGTTTCATGGATGAGTGAGTAGTATGAGGCTGGTAAGTCAGTTACAAGATATTAGCATTCCTCTAGGAGTGAGGATTGAGCGCTCGCTATGATTATGTGTATTCTTAGGGTGTTATGGTGATACTTAAGACAAATATGGGTAGGTGTGGAAGGTAGTATGGGCTCGTACTAGTGAAAGCATAGGACCCATACACGTAGCAAGGAAGTTACAACCCCTAGGGTATAGTCAGGAGTTGGATCCCAATTATTATGTTGATTATCTAATATCATTTGGTATGTTTCAGAATGGTGATGATGAGACGCTTTGTGATGGGATCTAGTTCAGGGTCAGGAGCAGGAGACGGAGGCCAGGAGAGGCTAACAACACCTGATCATGTGGTGTATATGGGTATAGAGGAGTTGGATGCAAGGATTCAATAGATCCTACATGATGAGGTTGATGCTATGTTCTGGGAATAGATGTCGAGGATGATTGGGTCTATTAAGATTGCTATGGTTGAGTACTTTGATGAGCACTACGCACCCCTTGCAGAGACGGATTCTACATCAACTGCATCAACTGTATCCATGGCAGGGAAAGGAGCCATTAGGGGGTTCCAGTATCGAGACTTCGATAACACGAAGCCCCCTACTTTTGATGGGATGCAGGATCCCATCAAGGCTATGAGGTAGATCTCAGATGTAGAGGGGTCTTTCTTTAAATGCTCGTGTCCTACTGACCAGAAGGTCAGGTGTGCTCTAAACCTGCTAAGGTCTGGGGGCAAGGACTGGTGGAGACTGGTGACTGGGTGGTACACTGATGATCAAAGAGCTGTTGTTACCAGGGAGCAGTTCAGTTCATTCGACCTAGCAGTTCTCCAGGGGGAGCATCGATCCTCTTCATCATGAAGAACGACAGTTCACACCGGATGTGCATCGATTATAGGGAATTGAACAAGTTAATGGTGAAGAACCATTATCCACTCCTAAGGATAAATGATGTATTTGATCATTTTCAGGGTGCATCTTGGTTTTCCAAGATAGACTTGAGGTCGGGATATCATCAGGTATGTGTCAGAGAGGACGATGTGGAGAAGATCGCGTTTCAGACTCGTTATGGTCATTACGAGTTTGTGGTGATGCCGTTTGGGCTCATCAACGTGCTGACGGTGTTCATGTATTTAATGAATTGGGTCTGCAAATCGATGCTTGATCGCTCGGTCATTGTATTTATTGATGATATCTTCGTATATTCCAAGACTCGGGAGCAGTACGAGGAGCACCTCAGGGAGCTATTAGGAATTTTGAGATGAGAACGGATGTATGCTAATTTCTCGATATGTGAGTTTTGGTTACGAGAAGTACAATTCCTTGGAAATCTCGTTAACCGGGAGGGTATTCTGGTCGATCCGGCCGAAATCGAGGCAATCATGCAGTGGGAGGTGCCGAGATCTTCCTCGGATATCAGGAGTGTTTTGGGTTTAGCAGGGTACTATCGGAGATTTTTTAGGGATTTCTCCAAGATTTCAGTACCCTCACTTAGATTACGAGGAATGGGGTGGATTTCTAGTTGAGCCATGAGTAGTAGAGGGCATTTGAGACCCTCCGTCAGCATTTCTGCGAGGCTCCAGTTTTGACACTCCCGGAGGGAGTTGAGGAGTTTGTAGTGTTCAGTGATGCATCTATCACATGCTTGGGGGAAATCCTCATGCATCGAGGACATGTGATAGCCTATGCGTCATGGCAGTTGAAGCTGCATGAGACGAGATACCCCATGCATGATTTGCATGATTTAGAGTGGGGAGTGATGCTGTTCACTCTCAAGATATGGAGGCATTACCTATATGGGGTCCATTGTACCATATACACGGATCACAAGAGCTTGAGACATATTATGGATCAGCTGAACCTGAAAAAGAGGCAGCACAGGTGGCTGGACGTAGTTAAGGAATACGATTGTGAGATCCTTTACCATCTAGGTAAAGCAAATGTGGTGGAAGACGCCTTGAGCAGCAAGTCAATTGGGTCTTCCATTCCGGTGATATGTATGAGGATAGCGGTGGACTCTCCGCTTGTAGATTTGATTAGAGATGCTCAGCTTGAGAGCATGCGGCCATAAAACTGGAAATTAGAGAGGATCAAGGGTGAGAAAACGTGGTTTGTGCAGGATAGCTGAGGATTGTTAACCCGATGTGGCTGGGTATGGGTTCCGATGTCTGGTGGGGTCAGACAGACAGTTATGGAGGAGGCCCATAAATCTCAATTTTCTATTCACCTGGGGGCCATGAAAGATGCATTGGGATTTGAGTTTGATCTATTGGTGGCCTTGCATGAAGCGAGAAATCTCTTGGTATGTTGAGAGGTACTTGACTTGTAGGATGGTCAAGGCTAAGCACCAGAGACTGTACGGTATATTGCAGCCCTTGGATATTCCTATGTGGAAATGGGAACATATCACAATGGATTTCATTACCAAACTGCCGAGGACGGCGAAGGGGTTCGATGCCATATAGGTCATCGTGGATCGATTGAACAAAAGTGCTCATTTCTTGG